GTATGACACACATGAAGCACTTACAAAATCAATGGAGAGTATGCTGATTATTTTTGTACTTCATAATATATTTGTAAGTACATGTTTATACAAAGCTGAGTAACATTAAAATACATTTAGCTAATAAGATTCAGATAACTTGTCTCTTCTTTTTTTTTTTTTTTTTCTTTTTTTTTTACTTAACTGTACTTCAGATTTTCAGTTTGTTTTAATTCAGCTATATATTCTTTGTAACATATTCTTACCTTGGCTGTTTTTAATATATAAATGGAACTTTTGAACAATCCTTAATCATATGGATCTAAATCAACACTAAAAATGACCTGTAATAAGAATGCTATTATAATAGTTATTGTAAAATGTTCACATTAGTCTCCTTTAATGTTATTCTATTCAAATAGAAAAAGAAAATGGAGACAGTAAAACATAGTCTTACTCTAAAATTCTTTAGGATATCCGGTAAAATATGTTTAGAAAGAAAAAGTACTTGTCCGTGTCAATTCAGCCAGCTCTATTACCAGTAAATATGTGCCAATCTCAAATACCAGAAAAAAAAGAAAAAAATTATGTTTGTGCATTACAATAATCCAAAGGAATAGCATTTACCATATCTAAAGCACTACCTGTTATCACCAATGAAATCAAGTCATAATTAATGAAATCATCAGAACAGATTAATACCTGTGATCACATGTTGTACATTTTAGTTATTCAACAACTTACTGACCTGCACAAATACATACAATTCCTCTTAGCAGCCTCTAATATTTTACAAATTAAATTACATTTGAATGGTTTCCCTAAACAATTTCCTTACTCCAGATGCTCAGTTTTTGCTATTTCCTTATCAGTGAAACATAATTCCTCTGCCATCTTGACTTCATAACATCCTTTCATGTATCAACTGAAATCACAGTAAAATGAATTTAGCCTTCAACAGAACCTCCTTGTCTGTACAACTCTCCTTTCGTTATTGAACTGGGGCAACATAAGTACTTTCAAGATATAATTTCAATGCCATCTTTCCTCTTCCATTACAAAATGCAATGACAAATTCAATTCAACATTAAGTACTTCTACCCCTTAGGGCACCACTGTTATCAGCAATCTAGTACTCTTAGAATCCCAAACAATTTTGATGAATATTAGGATTTTTTTGTGATTTTTTTATTAACAGTAGTAGTTATGATAATAATTAGTAGTAGCTAAGCAGTATAAGAACAATAATAATTTTGAAAATAAAAAAAATAGTTCATCATATAGTTTCTTAATTACAAAAATTAATAGCAATAATAAAATAAAAGTATAACATGAATAATATCAATAAGAAAATAAAACGAAAATAGCATTATCAATATGATTATTCTCATCATCCCTGTGGCAGTATCACTGATAGTAATAGTAATAGAAGTGTTAGAAATAGCTGCCTAGTTCTATATGTAGCACATTAAAAGAAACATTAGAAAAGGTAGTAGTACATGGCACGTTGCAGAAGCAGTAAATGCCATATCATGAATCTTTAAATAAAAATTTAAGAAAGAAACTAATATGCTCCCCAAATTTCAGAAATTATTTAAGAAGCAATAATCCATTACAAATGCAAAGGATGAGATGGCAAAGTTGGCAGAGGTTATGTAAAGCTCAGACCTTGTCATTAATTTCATAATAAACAAAAGTATATTGTTCTACAGCACTGTGAGAGAATTACATATTCACTAATAAGGGAAGATGGGAAGTACATTAGCCTTTTCAGTGTACACTCGTCAAACGTCAAGTACAAGTACAGCACTACTCCGATCGCTGAACAAGTTGTGTAAAAACATTTGAATTCTTTTGTATCTATCCTTTTCTGGAATAGCTGATAATGACGATCTATTTAGGAAAACATCACATTGTCTGAGCTCTATACAAATCTTAGAAATTACAAATACAACCATATGCAACAGAAAAAAGGAAAATGTTTGAGCAACACAAGGACAAATGATAACAAGACATTCAAGTGAACATGACTGGTAATGGAGCATCACCCTGAGGACATCAGAACAACCCGCAGATGAAACCAAATGATCAGAATTACCAATATCTCTTCCGCATCTCAATTCATCAAAAATATCCAACAAAGTCCGAAGGATGTGACAAAACAACAGTGGTATCACAGCCTACATGAAGCTAAATTATCCCCTCGCCTTTCTAAATCAGAATATAAGAAGACATTGGTAACCTTAAAAATTAAGATACAAACATACACACAAGCATCCTTACAGACACATCATAGCACAGAAGGAATTTTGAGCCAGTGGTCTTTTGGAGTTATCTATATGAATAAGAAGAATCAAGAAGAAAAAAAAAACATGAAAAAACCTTAACAGAGTGTTTCATAGAGAGCTTATGTAAGTTGGTAACGATAAAACACATGAAAAAAATGTACAAGTGAAACGTGAAATTTTGACAAATGCAAAAAATGTTGAAAATGAAACATGAAGTACCCTTAGAAAATGAAATGAAATAAAGTATATCTATATATTTTCTTCAATATATATTTTGACTACCCTACTCCTGCTTTGAAGAAAAAGAAAAAGAAAAAAAAAGAACTTTGATTTTTAACAGAGAATAAACCAAATTATGACATTCAATCTTATGTGTTAAACTACAAAATAATAATGATGAAAACTAAATAAAAATAATACCTGTTAATAGATAAAAAAAAACACTTTAACCAGCTACATATTCTGACACTGACAAGATGGTGAAGAAAAAAAAAATGTTTAAAACTATACACATATCTTATCACACACTATAGTAGGAATCAGGGGGCATTTCAAATCCCAAGCATTCTACCTCACAACATGAACATGAACCTAAAGATACTCAACATAAACGTATGTTCACTTATAAGCACCATGACTGGCAAATGGAGATATTTTTATTTGTATATTTTTTTGGCAGGGGGTGGGGGTGGGTGGTATATAAACTACCAGGCGGTCACCTTCATCTTTGAGCAATAAAACTGATTGGTTTAATTAACATAACTTCGAATAGAAGACTTATAACTAACTACCTACAAGTAAAGATTGGAGATATTAAACAAACCATACTACCATTATTCATCACAAGGCTGAAAAAGCTCACTAATATGAAACAAAAAATGGTACTTAGAAGCACTTAAATCAGCTGCTTACTAAGTGAAAAAACAAGAAAGAATAAAATCAAATAAATAAAACAATTTCTATTCATCTCATTTCATGACGTTTTGATCTAAAACAAAGTGTAGAAACAGACAGACTGTAACTGTGAATGACTGTCCCTTACAAAATTTCTTAATAAAATCCTTCACTTACCTTGCAAATATTCTAAGCTATGTGCAAACATCGCTCAGCTAATCAGATATATTGGTCTAGTTTACCTGAACAACTTCATCTTCATAGCAAGCTCAACAACCAAAAAAAAAAAAAAAAAAAAAAAAAAAAAAAAAAAAAAAAAATTGCAAAACCCATTTTTAATAATGACTTCCCTCCTAAATTTCATTATTCACATACATCATGAAATAAAAAGTTTCACTTTTTCTGTACTCTGTTTCCATGCCTATTTGGAAAGCTCAGATCACAGCATGGGACCTATTAAAACCAATACTGATGTCCTTGCCATAATTCGAACAGTGCTTATACAGTGAAGGACAGAAGAATCAGAATAACCATTCCATACAATAATTGAGACTATTTTCCATCTCTTTCAGCCATTGTGTAGTCAGATCTTATATTCAACATACTTTAACAATATTTAATAATACATATATGTTTATATACATACTGATTTACAACAGAAGTGCATCTAATATACTTATAGCATAAAATAATTATATTCACTTGAATGGAAGGCAGTTTTCAGTTATATTCTTCTTTTGCTGAGAATGCACTTGGTAAGACTCAAAACTTGACAGTAGCCAATATCTATCTACAGCAGAAATATGTACAAATTACATTAAATGTTGAAAAAAAAGAAAAATACTTTTGAGAAATTGGTTTCATAATCAATATTCTCAAGAATGCAACAATAACTTGCAATTCAGGCTTCTGCTCTAAGAAACCCTTAAGACTGGTTCTAGTCTTCTGTAATTACAATATCCACATGCTTATAAAACATTCATTTCATAACAAAAGGATGGCCCATGTTCACTTCTGACACACTACCATAACTAATAACCAAAATTGCTTTGTTCTTTCAATCACTATACACTGGCTGTTTACAGATACTAGTTGGTCATAATTTGCATGGTAAAGAGTAAGAAGCTTATATTAAGGGTATATTGATATTATAGCAGTGCTATAACATCTATATACCTTTAATATAAGATATAATTCAACCTTGCTTTAGTATTTTCAGCCATTATGAAAAAAATCTAGTTGTTCTTCATACTGTTGGGTCTTTATTACGCATTCGTAAAATGAAGCTATTCAGTAAACTATGCTCTTAAGAATATTCTAAAACAACAGGCCTTTGTGAACATCATTCAGCAAATAACTCCATTAAAAGTGAAACACATGAAAGTCTTATGACAGCTCATATAGCTAGAGTATGACTTTGTTTATGAATAACAGCCATTAAATAATCAGATGCAAAAAAAACTATCAGCTTTTGTTACTTTTGTTTTATCAATACAAATAAAAAATGGAAACTGTACTGTTTTGTAATAGGAAAGTATATCAATAAAGAAATATATTCTCGAAAATTTGTTATGACACATTCTCTTCTCCATGCAATATAGCCTTGGGCACCAAAATTCATTTTCTGAACTCAACTATGTCAATAATTATCATCTGTAAAATTACATGACCAGTAAATATGTGTTATATCTGTTTTTTTAAATATCACTTGGTAGTATTACTGACAACTGGGTCCTTTGATATATTTTAAATCTAAATTAATATAATATTTTTTTTATAATAGAAAGTCTGGTGCTTCAAAATTTGACATGTACTTTAAAGGTAAAAAAAAATGTATCAGTTGTGCCCATAAAACTTCCACAGCAATGAATAACAATGGTTTATAAGCATGTAAATACAGTCCTTTCAAGCAATACTGCAAAGCCACAGGATTACACATTATACTATGCAACATTCACATCTCATAGCAAAGGATATCATATATATCTAAGTTAAATCCATCTAAAAGATGCCAAATAGATAATTATATACAGACATTTTCCAAAATAACAGCAGATCTCTGAAACAGCTGAGGTTCTTCTTGATTTGACAAGACACAGTAAAAGGGAAAGTGGGACAAATTTACTGGTTGGTCTTGCTATGCAGCAATCTATCAATCTCTCCTGCCAGATCTGATCAATAAACAATTTCGAAAAATAATAATAATAATAATTTTTTAAAATCTGGTAAACTGATTCAGTGTCTGCTGATTTTAAAAGAAAAAACTTCCAAATATCAGTTTCATACTGTGCATATTTCAATGCAGACAATAATACCAATGTGGTACATGAGACTATTTCTTTTCCCCTATCGAAATGCAGAAGACCAGCAACTAGTAGCTATGCAACTAGTTCTATACAATTTGAGATAACAATAATTTTCCCTTCACACTTGCTATAAGTGTGCCTTCCCCAAACTGAAGGTACTGCTCTGATGCAGGTTCTCACTTCCCTCATGGGTATACAAAACCAGGAAGTTTCCCCAAGGCATTGTCACATCACAGCTTCTTCCACGTCCCAGCAGCTCACATTAGATAGTGGCCTAGCGCTCGCAAGCCGTGGAGTAGCTCTGCCTGCAAGCGTCCTTCTAGTACCAGGACCATCACATGAACCTGTGACAAAGGGAAGAGGGCTGTATTATTATGGTCTGGTGCTATATTTCCTGTAAGAGTGAACTGTGAATAAGCTGAATAAATTGACTTTGAACAGCTGCACATCTTGGATAACTTTCAACTGATACCACAGATAGATGATTTAACCCAATGCATGTATGTACATGTCATTCCCACTGTGAGTTTACTTGTTTAATTGTTTTTACACATAGATGGCTACACTTGTACTAAGTCACCAATGAGCCAATTACGAGTACTGCCTGTCTCACTTGTTTACCCTTTTCCTTGATTTACAAAAATATTTTACGTTATCTTATTTTGCTGTTACTAATGTTTGTAACATTACAGTAATTATGTTTATAATAAAAATGATACCAAAGATATTCATAACACTAGGAAAAAATATGTTTTTCATGCCAATTCAAGGAAAGGTGAAATCAGGTAAGGTCACAAGATCTACTAATTGATTCCTTTGTGGCTAAGCACTAGCAGGGCCATCTATGTGCAGAGACATTTCACAAAAATACAAAAAATGAGCACAGCATTTTCCCCATTTTTTATTCATTTATCCTAGTGGCATTGGGTTAATATAATGAATTGGATTCTTGAAGATCCAAACAATGGTATTTGTTGGAGACTTTGATAAAGAAATAATGAAAAAAAAAAAATGTAGAGAACTAGAATGAAGTAGCCACACAGGAACAGTAGATGCCAATATTAGGAAGGAAATAAGGCAAAAAAAAGAAACAAAGAAAGAAAAAAATATATATATAAAACCAACTTTACTTTGTAATTAAAAAAGCAAAAAGTATTTGAAGAATGAAGGGAAAGGTATAGAAGGGAAAAGGAGCTGAGAAATAAGAATCAGCAACAGAAAGTTACAACCATGAATAAGATAATGGAATAAGATATTAATAATAAAGACGCTGATATAACAAAAACAATCCATACCATAAAAAGTAGGAAATATCATCGTCAACCTCACAACTTGCCCAGCCCTACTTCTACTCCATACAAAATCCTGCCACTGACCTTTTCACTGTTGAGGAAGCCCTTCATGATGAAAGGAGACGCCTCTAAGGAAGATAATCTCTCAGGAAAGCAAGTGACTGTCTTCAGGAACATCTTCAGGTTCCTCTCCAACAGCTGATTGATCTGGCTGTAGTCATAGTCATCATGTCTGTTTGGAGAGAGGTCATCTTTGTTACATTTCCCTAAAAACAGAAGCTGGGTGTTGACATAATTGGTGATATCCGGCAGATAAACCAGGTGATTGCCCGACAAACTCTAAAATCTGTGATAAAATTATAGGCTGGGTCATCTGGATCTTAAGCTGGTTTGAGTAAGTTTCACAAATTCAATTCAAGGATTGTCAAGTTGATATTACATATTCTTGTAATAAATTTAGCAGGGTTTTAATGTATCATAAAGTGGAATAGATCTCTCATATAGGATTCTAAATACCTGGTGCTAGGCAACAGCCAAAAACAACTCTAAAAGTCTTATAACAAACAAATAGTATACCAAAACAACTGTATGTTTGCCTGATATACTAGCTTCTCTAGAGATATGAATCAATAACCATAAAAAATTACATTATCTCTTATCTTGAAAATCCATGGCAACAATATATACAGTTGAGCAGAAAAATATCATATTTCTAGTGTTTGATATCACAAGGAAAAAATA